TAAACTGTTGTCTTTTATACAAAAGACAACACTTTTCTTAAAAACTGTTGTCTTTCTAATGTTGTCTATGTGCATTTTTCTTATAGTGATGCCTCTGCTAAACACACTGAAAGACCTACCTAGATCGACTTGCCAAAAGAAAGAACATGTTATACAAAAGAAAGAGATTCATGATGAATCTCATGCCCACCTCAGTGTGGCATGTTCTGGAAAAGGGGTTTCATAGAAAGGATGGTGACCCCGGTGCGTTTGTTGTGCCATGTGCTATCAATTATAAATTTGTTGGAGATGACTAGCCGATCTAGGCGCCTCTGTTAATGTTATGCCTTCGTGTATATCCGAAAAGTTGAATGTGCCTTTAACACCGACCCGTATGACCATCCAACTTGCTGATGGTGCCACGCGGTATCCATTGAGTATACTGGAGGACGTGCCGGTCAAAGTTAAAAACTCTGCTATTCCTGTAGACTTTATAGTGTTGAATGTATGACAGGAATTGAAAAATGTGCCATTCATATTCGGAAAACCGTTCTTGGTCACACAACAAGCCGTTATTGATGTGAGCGCCGGTAATTTTACCTTGCGCCTCAATGATGTAGAAACCATGTTCGGCAGGGACATCAAAGAAAGTAAACGAAAGAAAATGGCAAAATCAAAGAAGAAATCAAAAGGCAAGACTGGCTGTGCAGGTAAATTAGGAAAATTCATTTGGAGAAGGAAAGAAAGTGGTTGCCTGTTGGTTGAAAGACAGGGTACGTCAGGCTGAGACGTTAAAAGAAGCGCTGCTTGGGAGGCAACCCAAGGTTTTACTTACATTGCATTATTTTAATCTTTGAGCATTTCATTTTTGAATAAAGTTGTTTGTTTTTGAGAACTAACAATACAGGAATAGCAAGTTTATTCCGAGAAGAATTCAAGAAAAAATTGAACAAGAAGGCTGAACCAAAGAAGACCCGTGGCCACGCGTGAAACAGGGCGCGAATGGAGGTTTAAAACAATGCATCATTTACATGTATATTCCATAGACATTTAGCATATTTATTCATCTCATTAATTCTTCCATAGTATCACTATTTGTGGCTTTTTAGTTTGATAAAATAATGTGAAACCACGAAAACGGGTAACTGAAGCCTTTTGATTGATTCAGATCAATACTATGTATGAGTGTTCATCCTTCTCATTGATAATTTGAGTGCATTTTCACTGATAAAATCAAATTATATTGTTGACATAAAACTACTACTACTGGAGAAAGATGATGAACAGTGAACAGTGTTGATATGTTTACTCTATCATGCCTAAGAAGCAGTATATGTTACTGCAGTGAGTCTTGTGTAAGACCTTCTCACCTGAAATGTGAAATATTTTTAGTTAAAATGGAATATATTGATCTATAAATTCATAAAAAAAATATTATATTTTAATTAAAAGTATTTTAGGTCTCGTTGTGAGACGGTCTTAATTATATAGTTCTTAATTATATAAGACTAATTGGTCTGATGTACAATTCAAAAGTGCCTTAATTGCCAAGATGAACGTTTGCCGTCACTCAATTAAGTTCTAGTTTGGAGTCACTCCCTTTTTAGTATTTGATAGAATTCGAACTCTATAACTGCTAACCAAACAAAGCTTATAAACTTATTTTGAATTGATTGATAATTTGAAATGACACCTTTGGCTTCTTTAATGTATCAGAGTGATGAATCATCAATTTCTTGATATTCTTCTTATGCCTTTGAAACTTTCAGAAAGTAGATTAGAGCCTCTCAATTATGTTAAAGTTGATCCCGCATAACCCATATAAATATGACCCTACTCAAAAATCCGTTCAACAACATTTGCACAATGTTGATCAGAGAAGGTTGCATGATTATAAGTTTCCTCTCTACACAAGATGCCATTAAAATCATCAACTACTAAAAAAGGACCAGTAATCTTTTTTTTTTTTTTTTTTTTTTTTTTTTTGCGATGAGCTCATCCCACACCATTTTCCGCGAAGAACAAGATAGGCTAACGTAAACAACCTTGAGGTGCCATGGAATTCATTCCTTTATATCGTCTTTAATAACCTACAAAAGAATAAATTGTGGAATGGCTGAAGTTCATAGTAATAATCCACGAATTATTAATTCTTGAATACCCAAAAGCAGCCCAGGGTTTCCATTGCTCCTCTCGCTGGATTGTAAACAACTCTATTGGATGGGACAGCTGGTCTGGAGATTTAAAGCTGCTCTATCTCCAAAGCCAAGAATGGAACCATTTTATTTGATTAAGGTTAGATTAGTACATTCCACGTAATCAACACCTCCCATGTTAAATCTTGTTTGCCAGATGATCTTTGAAATTTTTGGTTTCAACAAGCTCAACACATCCAATTTATGAGTACGAAAAAAATGTTTGAGGACGTGGTTGAAATCCTTCAAACCAGCATCCTGACAATTCCAAAAGAAGAAAAATCATGAAGAAATTAAAACAAAACAGCACTCTAAGCACTAGGAACACCCACAAGGAAAAAACAAACAAACAAAAAAAAAAAAAAAAAAAAAACCAAAAACAAAAAAAAAAAAAAAAAAAAAACAAAAAATACTAAGGTGTGTTTGGTTGACAGGTTTAGCTCTAAGGAATGGGTATTAAACTGATTGATATTGTTTGGTTGATAGGTATTTAGAACACTACTATGAGTTTCAAATACCCCCTTAATTGAAAAATTCATACCCAAATAAAATAAGGGTATCATCCCCATCCTTTCATTCCCTTAATTCTTCTCATCCCTTTTGGTTAGTGCTTTTAGATTTTTGTTTTTATTATTTTGTTCATATTGGTGTTTTGGATGTCTTTATATTAGAATCAATTGTCTTGATTTTGTGCTCTTGTATTTTTAAAATCTTTATTCCCATTATAGGATCATACATAGCCAAACAACATTATTGATAATCATTCACAATCCACCATTCTACCAAACATACAAAATACTTTCACTAAAACTCATTATCATTACCAAGTATTTGATACATATTTCGATTCTAATTTCCATGTACGAACCAAATACACCCTAACAAAAACCTGGGTCTGACCCCACGGATTGCTACCTTTCACTGTCAAAAGCCTCATCAGCTTCCATTAAAGTATCCCCATCAAGCTCTAGATTGTTCTATAGATCCTGGTGATGTTCATTTAGCATCCTCTTACCTTATTGTTCTTGAGATTTGGCCCCGAATATCATTTTCTTTTTTTCAATCACTTTTTATTAAATTCTTTTTTGTTTTTTTTTTTTGTTTTTTTTGACGAATGACAACTTGGAAGTTGGGCTATAGAGAAGGGTGAGGATATCGAAACACTTGAAAACTCGATTAAGAGAAGTTGTTTGACGAAGTTAGTTTTGATGTTGTTGGTTGGCAAAAAACTTGAAACTAAGAAAGGTAGATCGGGAGATAGGAATTTACTCAGGGAGAAAAATGCGGCTAGGATTGGGTTTCGATTGTGTTGTGTGATTGGTCAATCCCGAAATGGGAGGGTTGTGGTTATTTGATTGTGCGCTACCAGAAGAGAAGTGGATTGCTAATGCGTTAGCCGATTCGGTCTTTACGCCGCCCGTAGGAATTCTTATTCTCTACAAGGCATTTAAGCAAACACTTTACACTCACTCCGTTCCGGGTCTTGCCCTCTCGGATCGAAGACGGGGAAATGAAGAGGATCAAGGCTACCCGGATCTAGCAATCTCTTGCCTAGGCCTAGGTTTCCAACACCATCCATGTAGTTGGGCCCCACTCCAAGAATGTCACAAAGAACATCCTCAACAACAAGACGTCCATAGTCAACAATCAATCAAATACCACAAGATAAACAAATCAAAGCATCATCACAACAACAATCTACACCACAATCCTACCCACTAAATTTAGCCAAGCAAAAAGAGATATAACAAGAAAGCACAAAATAGATTTTACCCCAAATTGTTTAGATCCACCCAATACAAGTTGCTGATGAAGATCCACTGGCCAATTGCTTTGAATCTTCAATGCTCCTTTGCAAAATCTAGCGATACAAGGTGTTTGCTAATGTAGATCTAAATCTCTCTCTAGAAACCTATTATAACCCTACTAACCTCTCTCTAAAATCTGATTGTAACTAATGAAAATCCCTCTAGGAAAAATTGGGATCCCCCTCAAAAAATGAAGGTTTGGCCCTAAATACCCAGCCTCCATTCAGCCTCCCATTCACGCACGGCGTCACGCTGCTATTATTTTTTTTGGTAATGGTAATGAGTTTTGGTGAAAGTATTTAACATGTTTGGTAGTAGGGTGGAATGTGAATGGTTAGTAATAATAGTGCTTGAGAATGAATAAGGAAATGAAACCCTTATTGTATTTGGGTATGAGTTTTCAATTGATGGAGTATTTGAAACCGATAGTAGTGTTCTAAAAACCTCTCAACCAAACAACAACAATCACTTTCATACCCATTCCTATGGGCAAAACCCACCATCCAAACACACCCTAAATTTTAATTTCCCCAATTAAAATTTTTCATCAATTGTTATATCATGACCCAGATCAACCTTGCAAGGTGGACCAATGTCCAAAACAACGCAGCTTTATGCGTCTTGATTAACGGTGCCGTTAGCGGCACCGCTTCCTTAGAGAATGATATTTTATTTTATTTTTGTGAATATAGAGTTCAAAAATTGTGAATATAAAGTTCAAAAATTGTGAATATAGAGTTACAAAATTGTAAATATAGCAGCAAATTAAACATAAGGTGAACGGCATTCAAAAAAAAAAAAAAAACATAAGGTGAACGAAAATCTCCCAGGCAAGGCAAAAATATTATTGTTCATTATTACTGGTCATCTTGCGCTTCTTTGCCTGTCTTCTCATTTGTTCATCTTCTTCTATCTTACGTAGCTCTTCTCTATCCTCCTTCCTCGCAATCTTGGCACTCCGTCTTTCCTCCTTCAGTATGTCATCAAAACCAGCCTCCATACCCAAACATCTGTCTAATCATACTAATAGCTGCTGCTGCTCCATCTTCTTCTTCTTCTTCTTCTTTATCCGCCAATCTCCTCTTTGCCGGGCGTTGTGCTGGATTTTTGTTAGATATATTAAATATAATATATTTAATATAATGTATATTAAATATAATATAATATATCTATAATATATATTAAATATAATATATCAATATATTATATTTATATATTGAGAGAGAAGAGAGAGGAATGAATAATGTTATTTGAAGGGATGATTAACAAATGAATACAAACCACATATTTATACTAAATGAAAGCTACTAATCAGGAAGCTAATGCTCCATGTACTAATGCTATAATTTAGGCCACTCTTCACATACAATGCATGACCCACACCCATTACTTTCATTATTTTCAACAAATTAACTAATTATTAATTACTTGCTTGGTTTAATAATTATAATAATAATATTATTATAACATTGCCTCCTTTAAACCAAGTTGGATATATTGGTCATTCCAATTTCCTTCTTCAATTTGAGAAATGTCTCTGTCTTCAGCGGCTTCGTAAAGATATCTGCAACTTGACATTCACTTGAACAATACTCAATGTTGATTTGCTTTTCAGCAACCAACTCTCTGATTTTGTGATACTTGATATCAATGTGTTTGCTGCGACCATGAAAGACTGGATTTTTGGACAACGATATTGCTGATTTGTTGTCACAAAAAATAGTTGTAGGTGCTTCTTGGTTGTGTTGTAGAAATTCCAAAATTCTCCTCAGCCAAACTGCTTGAGTAGCACAGTTTGCTGCTGCAATATATTCTGCTTCTGCGGTTGAAAGTGCTACAATCTGTTGCTTCTTTGAAGACCAAGAAAATATGGCCGAACCAAGATAGAAGGCATACCCTGACGTGCTTCTTCTAGTCTCAACATCTCCAGCCCAATCACTGTCTGTGTACCCAACAAGTTCCACAGTTTCATTAGTAGAGTAAAAAATTCCATCATTACTTGTACCTTTGACATATCTCAGAATTCGCTTTGCTGCAGCCCAATGTGATTCTTTTGGTTCCTCCATGAATCTGCTAAGAATTCCAACTCCAAAAGAAATATCTGGCCTTGTTGCCACCAGATACCTCAAACTCCCAATTAAGCTTTTATAAGATGTAACGTTCACATTCTTACCACACTCATCTTTGGACACCTTTAACTTTTCAGCTAACGGAGTCGAAACTGGTTTGGAGTTTTCCATTTTGAACTTTTTCAAAATATCAGCAGCATACTTCTTCTGTGAAATAAATATTCCACCATCCATCTGAATAACCTCAAGGCCAAGAAAGTAAGACATAAGGCCCATATCGGTCATTTCAAACCTCTTAATGAGTGCCTCCCTGAATTCTGAGATTAGCTTCAAGTTATTTCCAGTAAAAACCAGATCATCAACATACAGACAGATTAAAACAATATCACCAGAATCCGTGCATTTGACATACAAAGTGTGTTCATGAGGACATCTCACAAAACCACTTTCAACAAAATATGAGTCAATGCAACCATACCACGCCCTAGGCGCTTGCTTTAAGCCATACAAGGCTTTTCTCAACCTGTACACTTTATTTTCCTCCCCTTTCTTCAGAAATCCTGCAGGTTGCTCAACATATATTTCTTCTTCAAGAAAACCATTTAGAAAAGCAGACTTGACATCCATTTGATGCAATTTCCAATCATTTTGAGCAGCAAGAGAGATAACCATTCGAACTGTATCAAGTCTACTTACAGGAGCAAAAACCTCAAAATAATCAATACCTGGTTTCTGCTTGTAACCCTTTGCTACTAACCGTGCCTTAAAACGGTCAATTTCTCCATTTGACTTGTACTTCGTTCTGTAAACCCACTTCACTCCAATTGGCTTCTTTCCAGGAGGTAAATCTGTTAACTCCCAGGTACCATTCTTTTCAATGGCACGGATCTCCTCATCCATCGCCTTAAGCCAATGAGTTTCTGTAGCAGCCTCCTCAAAAGTTAAAGGATCACAATCTGCAAAGAGAGCAAATTGAACAATTTCTTCATCAGACAGGTCATTATCATGACCCAAAACATAATCTTGCAAGCGAGCTGGTAAGTGGCGCTCGCGCTGAGATCGTCGAACTGACGACTCTGGCTGTGAAGGAGACTGGACATTATCTGGAATCGGTTGCTCTTCAACAATATTTTCAACAGCAGGAATAACAACTGAACTTTCATCTTTAGCTAACCAATCCCAGGCACCATATTCATCAAAAGTGACATCACGACTTATAACAACCTTTTTAGTTTCAGGATTGTATAGTTTATAAGCCTTTGAAGCGTCACTATAACCAATGAATATGCATTTCTCACCTTTATCATCCAACTTCTTTCTCAATGGATTCGGCACGTGGGCATATGCCAAACATCCAAAAACCTTGAGATATTTGATAGAGGGTTTTCTCCCACTCCAAGCTTCTTCGGGCGTCTTATCACGGACACTCTTAGTTGGACACCTATTCAACACATAGACAGCACAAGCAACAGCTTCTGCCCAAAAAGGCTTAGGCAGATCCTTAGATTTCAACATGCACCTCACCATATCCATGATTGACCTGTTCTTCCTCTCAGCCACTCCGTTTTGTTGTGGAGTGTATCTAGCTGTCATTTGGTGCTGAATACCCTTTTCTTTCAGAAAATTATCACAAGCAATATATTCTGTACCTCTATCAGTTCTCAAGATTTTAACTTCATAACCACTTTGCTTTTCAACAAAAGCCTTAAATTGTTTGAAAACATCACATGCTTCAGACTTTTGCTTCAGAAAGTAAACCCATGTTTTCCTACTGAAATCATCAATGAAAGTAATAAAGTACTTACAACCTCCATATGAGGGAACCTCCAACGAACACAGGTCTGAGTGAACAATCTCCAACTGTTTTGTGGCTCTCCTTGACTTGCCCACGGGAAAGGGATCTCTATGCTTCTTCCCAATCACACAAATCTCACAGATACGATTAGGGACATTCACAACAGGTAAATCAGAAACAAGTTCCTTTCTCGCAAGATAGTTTAACCCAGAAAAATGAAAATGCCCAAACCGCATATGCCATAACCAATTATCATCACAAACTTCAGAATTAAAGCAAGCAAGGAGAGTATGCTTAATTTTCAAAGGAAATAGTCGATTTTGGGACATATTTACCTTTGCAATCAAAACTCCTTTAGCATCTGCAATGGTACAACACCCCTGAGCAATATGTATCTTATATCCTTTTTCTGACAACTGACCCATACTCAACAAATTTTGGTGTAGTTCAGGAACATAGAACACATCGGATATAAAATTGTGAGTACCATCCTTCAACTGAATAAAGATTTTACCTTTTCCCAAAATTGGCACCTTTGACTTATTGCCAAACGTTACTTCAGACCGGACTGATTCATCTAGTTCGGAAAACAATTCTTTCTTCCCACACATATGGTTACTACACCCAGTATCCAAGAACCATATGTTCTTATCTGCAGAAAAACTATCGCTGGCCAAAAGTAAAGTTTCAGAACTCTCACCAGACTTTTCAGCAATGTTTGCTTGATTTTCACGATTGTTGTCCTCATTATACCAACAATCTGCAATCTTGTGCCCATACTTGCCACAATTGTAGCAATGAAATGGAAATTTACCTTGTTTGGTATTACCTCCACCTCTTCCTTGGTTGGAGTTACCACGTCCTCCTCCTTGGTTGAAGTTACCACGACCTCTTCCACTAGAACCTCCTCTTCCTCTTCCACGACCTCTACCAGATCCTCCACCTCTTTGATTAGTGCCAGTCACATTAAGGGTGACTTGACTCTTCAAAGCTTCTTCTGCTAGTGGTTCCGATTTTGACGCAATCCTGTCAATATGACTTTCTACCATACCTTTCAGCTCTGCAATTGATAAGAGCTCGGTTTTGTGTGACTCTGTTATTGAAGCCACCACATGGTCATACTTCATCGGCATAGTTCGAAGAACTTTTTCAACCACTGCACCATCTTCAATCGTATCTCCATATAGCCTCATCTTATTCACCATATCAATAAGACGAGTGAAATACGCATCTACTGTTTCTGTAGAGGTCATCTCACAATTATCGTATAACCTTCTCAACGACTGCAACTTAGACTTCTGCGCCCGATCGACTCCTTTGTGTGACACCTTTAAGATGTCCCAAGCTTGTTTTGCTGTTTGAGCACGAGCTAATTGCCCAAAAATGGAATAAGGAACACCTTGGTGAATCTGACCCAAGGCCAATTTATCTCGCCGTATAGCGCCTGCATCAGCTCCTTCGGGTAGACCGGGATCAACAAAGCTCCAAAGATTTTGAGCTTGCAAATGTGTGGACATCATAATTTGCCAATAATTGTAATCGAGGTTCCCGTCCAATTTGGGACCCGACCATACAATATTGAAATTTGTGGCCATAATTCACTATGAAAAATACCTCGGGGTTGAAAGGTTGACTGGCTCTGATACCAAATGTTCGATATATTAAATATAATATATTTAATATAATGTATATTAAATATAATATAATATATCTATAATATATATTAAATATAATATATCAATATATTATATTTATATATTGAGAGAGAAGAGAGAGGAATGAATAATGTTATTTGAAGGGATGATTAACAAATGAATACAAACCACATATTTATACTAAATGAAAGCTACTAATCAGGAAGCTAATGCTCCATGTACTAATGCTATAATTTAGGCCACTCTTCACATACAATGCATGACCCACACCCATTACTTTCATTATTTTCAACAAATTAACTAATTATTAATTACTTGCTTGGTTTAATAATTATAATAATAATATTATTATAACAATTTTTCACAGGCGGCTGGGGGGTTCTAGAAGATGGAACCACTCGTTGTTTCTGCATTGCCACCGGAGGTCTTGAGGATGGCATAGCAGCTGCTTTCTGAATCATTTTTGGCTTGCCAGATTCTTGAGGCATCATCTTTTTCTGTTTTGAAATGGAAGGTTGCAGTTTTGAAGGGTTTTGTCTAGGCACTGTTGAAGACTGGTTTTTTGGTGCTGACCGTGAATCAGAATTACCTTTTTGAGGCAAACAAGGTTTTGAAGGAGCAGGAACATCATCAGATAACAAAAACGAATAATCCCTTGTGTATTTTAGCATCTGGATTTTCGTTTTCGTTTTAACCCCAACCCCCCCCCCCCCCCCCCCCCCCTCCATTGGAAACTACTTTTGCTTTTGGTGCATGTTACTAGTAGTACTGGACTTTGGTCTCACATGAACCTTAACACTAGCAATAATATTATTTTTCCTCATAACTTTAGCTGCCAAATCAGGGTTTTCCAATAAGGACTTCATTTCTTGAATTACTCTTTCAGCTATAACTGGCTGTGAAGGTCCGAAGAAGGAACCAAAATTATCCGAACGGCAACTGGAAGCACTTCCACTCCCCAACTCTTTCTTCATCTTCTTTCTAAATCTTTCTTTCAGCTTTTGCCTTAGTTCCAAACATTCCAATTCCGCCATTGAAGCTGGAGAATCAGCCAAACCGATCGGAAAAGGCGAAATAGAGCGCAGATGCTGAGAGAGCAAACCAGAGGGAATTCAGATCTGGAGATCGAAACGGCTAATGCGAATATATATATATATATATATATATATATATATATATATATATATATATATATATATATATATGTACGTAGAAGCCGCGACGACGGAGGGATTCCCTGAGAAATGATTTTGTATAAAAAAATGATGTTTCACCATCCTAAAGGGATTGGGAGATTTTATATGTAAAAGCTAAGGGATTTTATATTCAAAAAGACGTTTCACAATCCTAAAAGGATTGGGAGATTCATTTCTTACCAATATAATAATATATAAAATATTATTATTTTAATATTATAACCTCCACGTCAACTCATTAACAAGTAAAACAAGTCATTTTGAATTTAATTGTATCATTTTGTGTTATTCAGGGACCAAATTAAGAAGATTTTTTGTTAAAATAAGTTTTTATTTTTGAGAAAAATTGTTATATTTTTAAATCAAAATATAATACTTATAATACTTATGAGGGTAAATTATTATGTGGACCATGGGCCACACAGTGTTGTGTAGACTATAAAAAAAAAAGTACATTTTTAATATAATAGAAGTACATTATTTGTGTACTGAATTTATGTTACGTTATATAAAATAATATTTTCAGTACTCAAATAATATATACTTTTTCTGAATACAATATATATTTTTAATATACTAAAAGTACATTTTTTGTGTAGTTAATGTACATTATTTGATAATATACAAAATAATGTACTTTCAGTATTTAAATAATATATTTTCAAATAATATACTTTATGTACATAAATAGTGTACTTTTTATTTTTGGTCCACACAAAAGATCATGGTCCACATAATAATAGTTGACTTATGAGGAAATCGTCCTATTTCTTAAACAAGAGTTTGTGAGACGGTCTAATTTTTTTTTTTTTGCCTTAAAATGAATATTTTCTACTGATTTTATTTATTTTATTGAGAAGAAAATGAAGAAATATATTAATTAAGATCCGAAATTGGTACATCCGAAATAAAGGGAAAAGGGACATGAAAATTGTACGAATAGTTAGACTTGGATAGGGGCTTCCCGAGCAAGTAAGTGGGCTACCCTATTCAAGGATCGTTTAGCAAACAAAAAGCTAACATTAGGAAAAGATTTAGTTAATTCCCTAATATTATGAAGGATGAGATCGAAGGAAGAGATTAAGTGTTGATGATGAATGTTCTTGGCAACTTGTAGGCAATCCATTTCCACATGGATGTTATCATACTAGAGAGCCTTTAACCACTTTAGCGCTTCCCGGACACCAATATCTTCGGCTTCATTGGGCTTGTAGAGGTTGAATACAGGGAGAATTCTGGCTACAACAAAAGCACCCAGGGAGTCACGAAGCACAAAACCCAGACCAATCTTTCTGTTAATCTGATCCGTAGCTGCATCAACATTCACTTTAAGCAGACATGATGGCGGTTTAGTCCATGGTTTAGAAGACATACTACCTGAAGACTATCCGGCAGAGGTGGAAACAATTGTTGGATATCTCGTTGGTAAACCGAATAATAATCCCACAAGAATAAGGATTATTGTTTTCTGTAAGAAAAGGGAAGGAAAGATGAAGAGAATGGCTCGTGTTTGGTGTTGGGTTTTTAGCAAGAGTCAAACGATCACTCTTTCCTTAAAACCTTATTTGCTATCTCCCACAAGTGCTAGGAGCATTGTAGCATAGGCTTCCCAGGATAAAACTTGCTACGATTCAGTGTTTGAGCACCCAAACAAAGAATCTGGCAAACTAGAGCAAGATTATAAACACAGTATGGCTAAGAAAGAGTAGAAGCAGAGAGTTTTGAGGCTGAAAATTATACCTTCTTGTTGTGTGTAAATCTGCTACTACCCAACTCCTTCTTATATAGGGATTGGGGAGTGAATTGCTTTTAATTTAGGCATTTAGGGGCACCCCTACAACTCCTGTAACAGCAACCATTAACATGGATTTTAATTCAAAATTTAAAATTGGAATCAATTCAAAGAATTAACTCTGTAACAGCTGAATTAAATCCCAACAGTCACAAACAGGAGTTTCAGTTCGGCCATGACAAGGCCGAACTTTCGGCCTAAGTAGTTTCGTCCATCAGGCTGAAACCACCACTTTCGGCCATGCATGTTTTGTTTCGGGCAAGGTGAAACCATTTCACCAACCAAGAAACAATTTTGGCCCAAGGTGAAACCATTTCACCAAACAAGAAACAATATAATATTGTTATATTGTTTCGGCCAAGGTGAACCCATTTCACCAAACAAGAAACATTGTTTCGGCCAAGCTGAAACCACCACCACAAAACTATTGTTTCGGCTAGTTTCATTTCGTGTGGCTGAATTGGAAAATGATACCGAAGTTTGGCATAACTTAGCCCGCAAGGCCAACCAATTTCTGGACGACATTCGTGCCCGCAGGTGCTGGCGCACACGAGATCATGCTTGAGCCAAGCCATTTTGATCTCATTTTGGGATTTGATTTGCACCCCTTCCCCCTGCGCGCGAGAGAGAGAGAGAGAGAGAGAGAGAGAGAGAGAGAGAGAGAGAGAGAGAGAGAGAGAGAGAGAGAGAGAGAGAGAGTGAGTGTGTGTATAACACCCTCTTTTTCTTAAACTTACTTAGCAAACTAAACCTTTTAAAGATAAACTACGCAGCGGAATTAAACTTAATAAATAACTTAAAGGAGTGTCACCGCCACAACCACTCTCCACGGTGATTGCACAGGCTAGGGTAAAATTAAACAACAACAAGTCAAATTAACATCCAAGAATCTAGAGGAATAAAACTCCGGTGTCCAGCACCATCAAAAGATAGGATACTACAACGAAAACATGAGTTTAGACTACAAGTCATCTAACTACCTAGTCTAACTCGAAACTCTCTCTCGTACCTACGAGCTTGGTCCACCTGAAAGGGGTTAACAAACAACAAATAACAAGCAAACCCGTTAGCACGAAGCTAATTATAACGCCGCTCAACCCTGTAAAATAATTACTGCATATACTTTGGGAAAACAAGGTTCCACATTCTTAGCTCAAACAAGCTCAAACACTTAAACATACTTTGGCGTAATTTCTAGATGTTTGCAACTTCATACTCAAGTAGACATACTTAAACATGAACAACTCATCATATTCTCATCTTATGGATAAACCACGCTTCTCAAATAAATCAATAATCACATGCTTTCTCATATAACTCAAATAAGCAACTCATGATATTACCTACTAATCATGCAATCTCGTGCGAGTCATAACTCATGAACCATCTCATACTACTAATCATACAATAGCAATCTAGTACAAGACATACAGTAAGCAATCACATACTACTACTCATGCAATCTAGTGCAAGATATATAAATAAGCAATCTCGTGCTACTACTCACGCAATCTAGTGCAAGATATATAGATAAGCAATTGAATGCTTCTACTCATGCAATCTAGTGCAAGATATATAAATAAGCAATCTCATGCTACAACTCATGCAATCTAGTGCAAGATATATAAATAAGCAATCTCATGCTTCTACTCATGCAATCTAGTGCAAGATATATAAATAAGCAATATCGTGCTACTACTCATGCAATCTAGTGCAAGATACATAATATACTTTCACGCTCTTTCAAAAAGAATACTTTTCTGTGGAGGTTTCTTGTTCTCATAAATGACTTGCTTTGCTTTTCTTTTCTTTGAGTCTCAATGACTCACTTTCTTTCTCTTGAGTCTCCTGACTCGCTTTCTTTCTCTTTACTCATGGGTGAGGCCAGGCTTCACCATAGTGTGAAATAACCCATTGGGTACGGCGTATAGCCGGCAAATCTCTCATCTCGCCCGCAGAACCAATCTCGTGGTTCCAATACTCATACTCTGAGGAATCAGGTATCGAACTATCAGTGTGCACACCCCCTAACCAAGATTCCAAGCCTAGCGGGCAGTTTCCAACCTCGTAACGTAGGAATACGCCGCGTTACATGATATCAGATCGCAATGTCCGTTGCTTTCTCTTTTACTCCGAAATGACATAGTCCAAACGGGTCCTCCAAAAATACTGTTTTCCTCACGATAGATATATCACTCATGCAACTCAAATCATGCAATACTTTTCTTATGCGAATGTGCACATATTCCTTAACTCAATCTCAAAATGACAAGATAATGGCTTTCTACATAAAAATGAGATTTTAGAAAATAATACTTAGGCTCACAATGGCCACTTATGAACCTTTAAAACATGGAATGCTCAACAAGGACATTTACTGTGAAATAGTTCTTCTAACTTCTATTCACTGTGAAACTCAACAACTTCATATATCATGCTTGCTACTCAAAACTTAACAATTCTTCTCAATAAACACTTAGCAAGTATTTAACATGCTATTGGAACTCAAAATACTTTCAAGATAGGCATGCTTTATAATAGCAACTTGGCAGTGAACTTTCTCAACTCATAGTATACAATTTAGGCATGCTTTGATAGCTAAACTCAACTAATTAAGCTCATGCTTCTCTATTTAACAATCAAACAATGGCATTGTAACACCCCCTTTTTCTTAATCCTACTTAAACAACTAAACTTTAAAGATAAACTAAACAACGAAAATAAACTTAATAAAATAACATAAGGGAGAAAAATTGAGGGAAAGTATGATATTTTGAGAAAAATTGTAATATTAATCATTATAAATTGATTGTTACTATAGAGTCAATATTGTTTAAAAAAAATGATTGTTACTTATAAAGAAAAGCGTAATACTTATGATAAAAATGTAATATTTTTAAATCAAAATATAATACTTATAATACTTATGAGGGAAAATTATTATGTGGATCATGGGCCACACAGTGTTGTGTAGACTATAAAAAAAGGTACATTTTTAATTTAATAGAAGTACATTATTTGTGTACTAAATTTACGTTATATAAAC